GGGATTTTGTTTACCAAAAACATGTAGCAGAATACATTTTGGCCTAAATTTATAACTAACTTTGAGTTTACTATATATTTTTTATAGCTGAATGTAAAAAATATCGTTTTTCTTCAACATTTTTGGTCTTTTGTTGTTTATAGGGGGAAAAATAAAAAGTGCACAGGTGATCAAATACCACTGAAAGAAAGCTCTATTTGTGTGAAAAAAAGGACGGAAATTTTGTTTGGATAGAGCATTGCATGACCGCGCAATTATCAGTTGAATTAGTGCAGCGCCGAGTAGCAAAAAGAGGCCTGGTCAGGAAGGGGGGTACATCTTCAGGAAGGCAAGTGGTTAAAGGCTAATTTATTAGATAAATTAAAATGCACTTATAGGCATAGTAGATTAAAAAGCATCACAAGCTGTAAAATGGCGATCCTTACGCAATGAAGGGAGGCTCTGCCCGACAAACAAAATATACACTATTGTTTATGGGCTGTACTACATATAAACAGCAACTAACATACACCTATGTAATATCACTGTGATCATTAGGAGTAGAAGAATTTATTTTGGGATGTTCTTTGGTGGTATATTGTGGTAGTAGCAAGATACATACAGCTAAGTTTAAAAAATTATTTTTGAAAACTATTTTGGGCCAGTTTTCTTTTGATAATAAAAAAAACACAATTTCAGGAGATATACATTACCATTTACCACCAAAAGAAAGTCAATTTTGTACTGAAAAAAACAAGGTATAATCAACCTGGATGCACAAAGTAGTTATGATGATATCTACAGTTTTACTATCACATGTCAAAGTTGCAAAGTTCAGCCATTGACATTTGTTTTACCCTCAGTAACTAAGGAGTTAAAGCTGCAGATTTTAAAATATTGAAAATGACTTTTGGAATCGCATTACTATGGTAAAACATATGCATGATTGTAGTGATTGGATTTACATCTATATTTGCTAACTAACAGCCTAAATTTACAAAACAATTAATGGGACAAGGTGATGATTATACTTAAAGAGAAACTTTAGCCTTTCCCCTCCCCCTCATTTCCCCCCTTCCCTGCTTACCTTTTATTGTCTTCAGCCCAGAAAACATACTCACCAATCCACTGGATCCAGCGTAGAGCTGCTAGGATCCTCCTCTCTGCAGCTCCTTTATGGGTCCAGTGCTGCCATGTTCCCTGTGACAGCTACCGGCTCTTCTGGGTGTAGGCTCTGCTTGTCCCGCCCCCATACTGAATGGGAAAGCACATCATGCATCCCACGAGGCTCCGGGGGGATGTTTCACCTAGTCCAATTCTGGAAGTCAGAGGGCGGGCCGAGCCGAGCCTTTGAAGTAAAAAAACCAAACAAGTAAGTAAACAAAAAAAAGAGGAGGAGAGTGCCACGGGAGGCTGAAGGTCCGCTTTAAAGTCATTGATATTACAGGAAACCTCACGGCTGATCAAGCGCAATTAAAACTCAAGTGAATAAAATAGGTGGGGACGCACTGCTTTCAGATGGGGATAGCCAGTGCCAGCTTTCTGCATACAAACAGGGTAACTAGGAAATTGACACTCCCGGAAGTGTCAGATTCTGAGGGTGATTAATTCTTACTGATGCGGCTATCAGCAGCAGTAGCAGCAGCAGGAGAGGTGAGTATCTAACTTGCTCTTTTCAGGGAGCACCTTAGTTTTGCTTTTAGTTTTAGGAACAGAATCACTTTAAATCCAGAGTGGGCACAACTAAATTCACACAAAACAAAAAGTGCTCAAAAAACATGTATTAGATGTGGGAAAACACACTGTCCTACTTCTGTACTACTGTCCAATAGGCCTTTTGTATCATAAATGCAAAAAGAGCAATCCCCCTTCCAAGATATATCTCTGGACATTAACAAATCATCTTAATGACAAAAGGGACCTATGAATGGAAATAGTTACCATGGGTTTTGAAGTATAATTAAGGCAAAACTTTTTTTTTTTAGTTTTGGATAGAGTAGAGAGGGATTAGAACACCTATCAGTTTTTATTGCTGTCTGTGTCCTTGTTAATGAGATTCACCCTCTCTATTTGTCCTGTTTATCATTATCATTGAAAGTGAAAGTAAAAGAAAATCCCACATTTTGGGTTGTCCCCAGAAAAGTAAGAGATGAGAAATCTTCCAATGGGAACACTAGTTCTGGTGACCTGGGGGTCCCCAAGGAATTCCTTTTATTTTCAGGGATTTCCTCTCACTTCCTATTTGGCTATGTGACAGAAAGTGAAAGGAAATTTCCCCAATAGGACACAGATGGTGAATAAAATCTGACGGGTTATAACCCTCCATTACTCTATCCAAAATGAAAATAAAGTTTTGCCTACAGTTCTATTTTAAAAACAAGCTTTGCTTGTTTATATCAGAAAAACAATTACATAACAAGTCTAAGTGAAAATTGCAGTAGTGAGAAAAAGCAAAGGAACCCTGTGTTTAAAATGAAAGCAAGTGCACAAATTAGCTTTCACTGTAATGTAACAGAAAATTATCTCAGAGACAGTTGTTTCAACTAAAGTTTTAAAAATGAGGTGGATATGCTGTAAAAGACATATGCACTTCTACTTTTACCTACAAAGGCATGTTCTGTACAGATAATTTTTTTTTCAGTCCCAGGCCACACATCCAGGAATTCATGGACTGGGACATTTTTCTCAACTTTCTTGAAAATAAAAAGGGTATATGAAACAATTATAACAGTGGCAGAGTTTTGGAAGTTTGTACAATGTGACACTTATCTGTGGTCTGAAAGGCCCATTTCATACGGATGTTCAGTCTAGATCCACCCGTCAGTTTTTTTTTAGATGGATCTAGACTGAACATTAATGTATATCGGTGTGGACAGATGCAAATGGATCATTGCCCATTTACATTTGCCTGCATCCGTGCCCCTTCAGGTACTTTTTTTTTTTTTTAAAGGAACAAGACTGCATCTTCTTCTATTTAAGATGGATCTGAAAGGATGTAAATAGATGCTGTCCATTTACATCCGTTCTGTTTATGTCCGTGTTTTGTCAAGAAACATACACTGCTCAAACAAATTAAAGGAACACTTTGAAAACACATCAGATCTCAGGTAATGTGTTAGGAACATAAGGATGCCCCATCGTTTGATGGAAATGGAAATGATCAACCTACAGAGGATGGAATTCAAAGACACCCCGAAAATCAAAGTGAAAAAATGATGCAGCAGGCTCGTCCATTTTGCTGAAATTTCATTGCAGCAACTCAAAAGTTTGTATGGCGCCCACGTGCTTGCATGCATGCCTGACAATGTCGGGGCATGCTCCTAATGAGACGGCAGATGTTGTCCTGGGGTATTTCCTCACAGATCTTGACCAGAGCATCACTGAGTTCCTGGACAGTCTGAGGTGCAACCTGGCGTCATCAGATGGACTGAAACATGATATCCCAGAGGTGTTCTATTGGATTTTGGTTAGGAGAGCGTGGGGGCCATTCAACGGTATCAATTCCTTCATCCTCCAGGAACTGCTTGCATACTCTCGCCACATGAGGTTGGGCATTGTCGTGCACCAGGAGGAACCCAGGACCCACTGCACCATTGTAGGGTCTGACAATGGGTCTGAGGATTTCATCTCGATACCTAATGTCAGTCAGGGTGCCATTTTCTAGACTATCTGTGCATCCCTCAATGGATATGCCTCTCCAGACCATCACTGACCCACCACCAGAACGGTCATGCTGAACGATGTTACAGACAGCGTAATATTCTCCACAGCTTCTCTAGACCCTTTTACATCTGTCACATGTGCTCAGGGTGAACCTGCTTTCATCTGCGAAAAGCACAGGTCACTAGTGGCAGACTTGCCAATTCTAGTGTTCAATAGCAAATGACAATCGAGCTCTATGGTGCCGGGCAGGGAGCAAAGGGTCCACTAGAGAGTGGTTAGCCCTCAGGCCACCCTCATGAAGTCTGTTTCTGATTGTTTGGTCAGAGACATTCACACCAGTGACCTACTGGAGATCATTTTGTATGGCTCTGGCAGTGCTCATCCTGTTCCTCCTTCCACAAAGATACCGGTCCTGCTGATAGTGGAGGACCTTCTACAGTCCTGTACAGCAAACCTTCTGGCAATGGCACATATTGATGTGCCATCCTGGAGGAGTTGGACTGCCTGTGCAACCTCTATAGGGTCCAGGTATCTCCTCATGCTACCAGTAGTGACACTGGCCCTAGCCAAATTTAAAACTAGTGAAAAACAGTCAGAAAAGATGAGTAGGAAAAAAAATGTCAATGGCCTCCACCTGTAAAACCATTCCTGTTTTGGGGGTCATCTCATTGTTGCCCATCTAGTGCACCTATTGTTAATTTCATTGATACCAAAGTAGCTGAAACAGATTAACAACCCTCTCTGCTACTTAACTGACCAGATCAATATCCCAGGACTTGATGCTATACTCTGATTACAAAAATGTTCCTTTTTTGAACAGTGTATTTCAATTATGTTTATATCACCTCTGATTGGTTTCTGCAACACCTAAAAGAAACCAGATGAAAAAAATGGATGTAAACTAATGTAAACTGTTGTAAACTGAACTGAACTGAAGTGCAAACTGATGTAAACTGAACTCAACTGAACTGAAGATGGATGTGCAAACTGATGTAAATTGATGTACTATAAATTCCTTATTCCCCTTTCACAGGGGCATCATCCCTTCAGTCATGTTTGTTCAAAGAAAAAATGGATTCAGTTTACATCCGTTTACATAGGTTAAATTTATTATTTAGGCTACATGTACACTGGAAGTGCCGTATACATTAACTCTACTGGCAGCAGAAAAATGCTAAATGTGGCAAAAAACGTGTAAATGCGGTATTGCATTTAGACATGTTTACTAGAGATGAGCGAAGTATTCAAAAATTCGATTCGACTGATTCGGCGAATTCGTGGAAAAATTTTGATTCGAGTCGAATATATTCGCTGTGAATTTAACTTAAAAAAGGGTGTTTCTAGGCTTCAGAGAGACTTAATATTAGTGCAGAACACTGTACCTTTAATTTAAATGCCCTTGGAGTCTGCTGGGGAAGAGAAATAATACTGTCAGTCAGTATGACATGCAGATGAGTGCCGTCGATCTTAGAATCACCGCACACTTCACTCATTTGGGCAGTCACGGGGCCAAAACCAGAGTGTGGAGCCACAGTGTGGCGGTGGAGGCAGCAGCAATGAGAGGCCATACAGCACCCTATGACAAAAATGGAAACCACCAGCAGTGTGAGGAGACCTGAAAGTGGCACATGGCAGAGTGTGGCGATAGAGACATCAGCAATGGGAGGCCGTACAGGGACCCATGACACACTCTGGACCTGGCAGCAGCATGAGGAGGCGGTACAGGGGCCCATGACAGATTACGGGCCTGGCAGCAGCATGAGGAGTCGGTACGGGGGCCCATGGCAGATTACGGGCCTGGCAGCAGCAATGGGAGGCCGTACAGGGACCCATGACACACTCTGGACCTGGCAGCAGCATGGGGAGGCGGTACAGGGGCCCATGACAGATTACGGGCCTGGCAGCAGCATGAGGAGTTGGTACGGGGGCCCATGACACACTCTGGACCTGGCAGCAGCATGAGGAGGCGGTACAGGGGCGCATGACAGATTACGAGCCTGGCAGCAGCAACTTGGACAGGAGGACGTTCAGCTTCTGCACCGTCGGGTGCGTGCTCGCAAACTGTTGTCTCTTGGAAACGGATTCCAAGAAAGACTGCTGACGGAATCTGTGAAGAGGAGTAGCAGGAGAAGGAGCATCTGAACGAGCGGAATATGCCAACAAGCGACAACAGGGGCCCATGACAGATTACGGGCCTGGCAGCAGCATGAGGAGTCGGTACGGGGGCCCATGGCAGATTAGGGGCCTGGCAGCAGCTATGGGAGGCCCGTAATCTGCCAGCACCCTATGACAAAAAATGGAACCCACCAGCAGTGTGAGGAGACCTGAAAGTGGCACATGGCAGAGTGTGGCGATGGAGACAGCAGCAATGGGAGGCCGTACAGGGACCCATGAGAGACTCTGGACCTGGCAGCAGCATGAGGAGGGGGTTATAGGGGCCCATGGCAGATTAGGGGCCTGGCAGCAGCTATGGGAGGCCCGTAATCTGCCAGCACCCTATGACAAAAAATGGAACACACCAGCAGTGTGAGGAGACCTGAAAGTGGCACATGGCAGAGTGTGGCGATGGAGACAGCAGCAATGGGAGGCCGTACAGGGACCCATGAGAGACTCTGGACTTGGCAGCAGCATGAGGAGGCGGTATAGGGGCCCATGGCAGATTAGGGGCCTGGCAGCAGCTATGGGAGGCCCGTAATCTGCCAGCACCCTATGACAAAAAATGGAACACACCAGCAGTGTGAGGAGACCTGAAAGTGGCACATGTTTGGGGCATGATTCATGGCGGATTTAGTCAGTTGTGTCAGGAACTGGTGGTTTGAAATCCAGACTAATCCACGCCTGATTCATTTTCACAAACGTGAGTCTCTCCACACTTTGGGTGGACAGTCGTGTCCTCCGCAGAGTTACAATACCTCCTGCCGCAACGCGCTCCGATGCCACGCTACTGGCCGGGCATGACAGCCTTTCAAGGGCAAATTCAGCTAGTTGGGGCCAAAGGTCAAGTTTCGTTGCCCAGTAGTCAAGGGGATTGTCTACCTCGGTTGGCAGGGTGCTGTCCAAGTAGGCCTAAGCCTGTTGTTTGAGGTCCTGCTCCAGGTCCACCTGATGCTGCTTGCTGCTGCTGCTGCTGCTGCGGCTGGTTAGTAGTTTCCTTACTGCGCTGGTGAAGAAAGCTACTCATCATCGACTGCAGACTGAGGCAGCCGCTGCTGGTGGAGCTGCCACTGCTCCTACCACCCCACCCCTCCCCTGCTGCCATGGCAGCGGAACGCGAGCGCACAGGGCCCACAGTGTCTGAGGATGGACGTTGGCGCAGACAGGCAGAGACCAGCTGACTACATAGGTGGTTTTTATAGTACGTTATTTTGGCCTCCCTCTCAGCAGGTGTGAAAAAGGCCACCATTTTTGAACGGTAGCGAGGGTCCAACAAGGTGGACAGCCAAAAGTCATCCCTCTGTCTTATGGTTATTATTCGGCTGTCGCTACGCAAGCAACCGAGCATGCTATGGGCCATTTGTGCCAAGGAATGCGAGGGACTCCCTGCCTCCATCTGTCAGGGAATCCCCGCGATCCGTCCCTCGATGGTCCCCCGGCGCAGGCGCACTGCTCCTCCCAGTACACGGGCACTAGGTCCGGGCCGGCCGCGGCGTTCGAGTTCGCGCATGCGCAGTAGAAGCCGCGGCCGCCCGCTGGGGGCACCAATGGCAGCGCAGGGCGGGATATTTAAAGGTCCCTGAGCTGTCATTTCGTTGCCTTCTGGTCTTACCTGCATTCCTGATCCTGTGAACCTGTATACTGTAAGTTATTGACCCGGATTGCTCTTGACCTTGCTGATTTCTCCTGCCCAGACCCTTGCTTGCCTGACCTCTCTCCCTGGATGCCCCTCTGTAGATCTGACCTCCTGTTGCTGACCTGGCGTGTGACCCGACGATTCCTCTGCCTGCTCCCTTGTACCTTACCGTCCTCTACATTACCGACTCGGCCTGTCTGACTACGCACTTGCTCAGCCATCCCATCCATCCATCCCATCAGGGTCACCCGACCTCCTCACATTTTGGCTCTCCCTGGTTGGAGCCCCTGGCGGACACCCCTACCACTGACAAGTGTGCTCAGTAGAGGCGACCTGGTCTCAGGGTACTACAAGTCCATCCCCACCATCAGGGGGCCCTGGTGAACAAGTACCCTGGGGCTTAGATTTCCGCGCTCTGGGCACGCCTGACCGGTGGAGTGCTAGTGGTGCCGCTCGGCGGTCCCTCACAGTACCAGAAGGCCATGACTGAGCCT